TTTTTCACTTGGGTTCCGAGCACCGGAGCAGACGGCAGGGGGCAATAGTGCATTGAAACGGGTGTTGAGCGGCGTGGATATGACCAGATGTGATGCGTACGACGATGCGTGACTGGAAAACGAAAGAGGACTGCGCTGTTAGAGGATGCTCGGAAACGGAGGCGACTGATCTCGCCCGGCATGCGCCATCGGCGTCGGCAAGGGAGAACGGGATGGAGGCGGGACCTCGAATGGACGTGTCTGCGGCCGGGAGGTGCTGCTTGTGCGCGAATCGAAGGACCAGCTGGGCATCCGCTTGTTTCGGGCGGACGACGCTGTTCGTGCTCGACCGAAGCTAGCCTGGTGGTCGGCGTGCGGCGGACGCTTCAGTCCTCGCTCTTGATGGGCTTGTCGTCGGCCAGGTCGACGGCGCTGTCGTCAGAGTCCGAGGCGTCGAGCTCGACGTCGTACACGACGTCGTCGTCGGACTCGGCATCCTCGTCGTCGGTCTTCTCTGCCGAATGGGCCAGGTCGCCGATGAGGGGCGACCACTTTTCGCAGCTGTGCCTGGTGAGGTTCTTCCAGTCGTCGAAGCTGAGGCGCACCGTGTCGCTGAACGCATCGAACTGGATGTCGGCGAGCCACTCCCAGTAGGTGTCGATGTTCTCGAAGGCGACGGCCTGGCGATGGCCGAGCTCGTCGGCGGGGATGACGTCCATCTGCTTGACCTGGCGGTAGACGACGTGGTCGCTCTTGGACGACTTGCGCAGGCGCTTGTCGCACATGAGGACGACGTAGCTTCCCAGCTCGAGGCCGCACACATCGTCCTTGACCCAGTCTTCGATGGTGTCGGGGTCGAAGTGGAAGTGCATCGTATCGTCGGCCGAGTTGCGCAGGACGAGGCTGATGCGCGGGCCGACCTGGGCCTCGCTCTCGCGGAAGCTGATGCCGGCCACGATGCCGACGAGGCAGTAGCGCCAGAAGGAGTCTTCGGGCTCGTCGTACAGGTTGTAGAACGAGACAAAGTTGTGCCAGTGGATGCCCGCGATCTGGACACAGTCCTGCATCTTGCCCCTGTAGATCGGATTGAGGTGGAAGGCGAGGGATGGCCGCGGGTGTCAGCCTAGCAGCAGGCAGCGATAGCTTGACCGTACTGTCGGGACCAGAGCGAACGAGCCGAACCCACTTGGCGGGGAAGGCCAGGGAGGTCATCTTGACAGATACGATCGTGGCGGGTGCGAAGTGAGGGCTTCTTGGGGACCAGCGGCGGTGTGGCCGGTGATACAAGGCGGTTGCGGATCAGGCGGTGGCAGTAAGATGGATTTGGAGAAGGGCCGAGGGGTCAGCGAGTTGTGGCGTGGAGAGAGATGGGGTGGTGGTCAGAGGAGAGGATGCCCTGAGCGGCGCCCACGTCTTTTTACGGGCCTCGCGCGGGCGCCTGGCGTGCGAGAGTCTCCCTGCGCGGGGCAGACGGTTCATCCGCCGCGGCACGGCCTGCTGGCCTCGGCTTGGCCCGCTAGCCGACCTGGCTGGCCAAAAGTCGGGCCCACCCTCCCGCTGCGGTGACGCAGCCAACCGCCCGCCTCCCATCGCAGCCCTCAGCACACCGGAAAGGTCGTTCGGCCTGGAGCGCTGTACCTTCTGCATTTCTGCTCGCTCGGTGACGGGCCACTTGGAGGAGAGCGAGACGTTCGCTACAAGCGATGGCGTGGAGAGGGAAACTGGAGCATGATGCGAAGTGCGCGTCTCTTTCTCGTGCAGCTGGCTCAACGAGAGCGCATGCTTGTGACGCCTCGATCTGGTCGCTGTCATGGTTGAAGGACTCAAGAAAGCGGGCTATGACGGCCAGATGCGATCTCGTGGCCTAAGGAGCTTGAACGCTTGTAGAGTTGTCGCGTTTGTCGATCTTAGATGTTGTAGCCTGGTAAGCCGTCGTCGGCCGTCGGCCATTGGACATCAGTCGCTCAGACAGGAAAGGTCTGGAGCGAGAGGCAGTCACGAAGCCCGAGCAGAGCTCACTTGTTGTCCTCGCTGTTGCTGCCGTCGTCAGAGCTCGCGAGGTCGGAATCCTCGCTCATATCGACGTCGTCGTACTTTGACTCGTTGGCTGCTACGTTTTCGAGGATCGGCCTCACCCACTTCCGGCAGCTTTGCGCGAGGATCTCCTCCCAGTCCTCGACGGACAGCACCTCCGCCAGGCGGAAGGCGTCAATCTGTCGCAGAGTGAGCACGTTAGCGTAAGCATCGATGCTGGCTAGCGCACGTTGCTGACGAGGGGTGAGGTCGCGAGCTGGAATGAGACGGATCGCATGAACGGCACGATAGAACTTGCTGTGGAGAGTGACCGAGGAGTGGTTGCAGTCGGAGAAACGAAAGACGGCCAGGGTGCCGATCTCAAAGTCGGCGATCTGGCCTTTGAACCATTCTCGATACCTCCAGTCCTCGAGGTCGAGCTTCAGCTTCTTGCCAACAGTGTTCCTGATGACGATGGTGACGTCGACGTCGTCTTCGGACTCCTTGAAGGTGTACGAGACGAGGTAGCCGACCACGCAATAGTGGAAGAAGTTGTTCTCCGCCTGACCCTGCGGCAGGTTCTTGAATGCCGAGAAGTTGTGCCAACGGATGCCGTCAATCTGGGCCGCATCCGACTGAGCTTTGAGGCTGCGATCACGCATCGTGGACCTTGACTTGAGTAATCGGACGTGTGCTGCTGCCGCTATACCCAAGAGAAGAGGACACACTCACGAGGCGGACATGTCGATGGACTTGGAGCGGACAGCGGTCAAGCAGGTCCAAGGGGGGTCGAGCGGAGTCCTCGCGTCGCGTGGCGACAGAGGTATTTGATGCAGGGTGGATGACGGTGGAGAGTGAGTTGAGCGAGATGGGAGTGGCAGCGCTATGGTGGCGTGGTCTGGTTGTAGACAAGGATATGATGGTGGAGAGAGGGAGGAGGCACGGAGCCAGGCGCCTTGTATAGTGCGACAGCGGCCGCTTCATTAACCTCGGCGGCGGGGCGGAATTCTTGCACCCCGAGCCGCGCCGCGCCGCACCGCGCCGCACCGGGCAGGTAGGCTTCTTTGAGCAGAGGCTTGCTTCCGCCTCGGAGCGGAAAGGAGCAAGCCAGCGACGCAGGCAGGTAAGCTCGAGCCTTTTCCTTTCTCCTCGGCCGGACACGGAAAGCTTGGTGGACAACGGGAGCAGAGCTGCGGAGCGACACATGATGAGGTGAAGGCACCGTCTCGCTTGGCATCACCGTTGCGTGTGTAGCGCATCTCGCTCCCGTGCCTTAGGACGGGCTACATCCTCTCGCGCCACTCCCTGCAGCTGTACTGAAGCAGGCCCAGCCACCTATCATAGTCGACGAGATTGGGCGCCTTGCGCTGGATCCTGGCCAGCTTGCGGGCGTATCGGTCGACCTTGCGGAGTAGCCGCCTCTCGTTGCTATCCAACTCGGACAGGGCGAGAGCGACCATGAAGACCAACTGCGGCTCGACCTCTTCATCATCCCCCGTGCGGTGACGGTGGCGGGGTCGGGGTGGGATGTAGATCTGCAAGAAGGCGATGTGATCGATGGCCAGGTCGGGCAGGATCGGTTTGATCCACGCATGGTGCGCAGCACGACGGAAGGAAAGGTGCCACTGAGTGCCAACGGTATCTTCGAGGTCGAGCGCGATCCCTAAGCCGTGTTGGCACTCCACGGTCTCGACACTTTTGATCCGACCCAGCGTGCACAGGTATCGACCCCTGCGCGGCGGCGGGTTGGCCAGCACAGCGGCGAGGTGCGAGAGAGCAGTGACGTTGTGCCAGTGCACTCCTCCCAATCGCGCAGACGGGCCAGACGTCGTACTGAGCGATGCCCGGGTTCCCAAGTGTGAGCGCCACGCCATGAGGGACGGTGTCTGTCGGCCCGGCGGACAGACGGATGGGACTCACGAGGTACTGATCATCTTGGCAGTTGTCGCCCTGTCGTTGTGATGTAAGGATATGAGTGGGCTGGATCGCGAGGCGACGGGGGAAAGCGGAGGAGGGATGCATGGTGGTGGTAGCCTTGGCGAAGCCAGGTCCTCTTATAATTTTGGCGACGCACGGGGCGGTCGTCGACAGGCGGGGCTGCCCAAGCCTAACTCAGGACGCAGTCAAGGGACATGCGCACACTCGGCACAACACGGCACGACTCGGCGAGCTAGAGTCACTTGAGGAAGCGGAATGGTGATGCTCGGCGGTGCGGCGGTAAAATACAAACAGGAATACAGGCGTGTGGGCGGTTCGGGGCGGGGAATGGGCGATGCAAGGATGCGATGGTGCGTGGTCTCGAGGGAGGCGGGACGAGAGACGTGGTGCGGCGACCTGGCTGGTACCCGGCTTCCGCTCCGGGCGGGACTGGAAAGTGCGTGCAGCGAGCAGTGCTGCCTCAACGCTTCTGCTGTGGCGGCTCGTGCTGTGGAAGCGCCGCTGCTGGAGCGCCGGCGAGGGACGGTGCCCTGACGAGCGGAACGCCAGGACGGGCCAGCGGCACCGCTTCGTGGAATGTAATCTTGCGAGGCGGAGGCGGTAGCGAGACAGCTGCCCTGCTCGAGACGAACGGCGCGGACGAGGCTGGCATCGGCGCCGGTGCCAGTGCCGGCCCCGACCCGGACTGCGGTTGCGGCTGCACTTGCGTTTGCGTTTGCAGCTGCGGCGCGCTCGTGATGGCCGGATCGATGGATGCGTCAGGGACGGCCATCTGAGGCAGGGGTGCGGGCTGCTCAGGCGATGTGGGCGAGGCAGATGACTGCGCCAAGGTTCTAGACGCCTCGGCCTGCACGCCGCGTCGCTTCGGCGTCGTAGCACCAGCTGCCTGGCCGGGACTGTTGTGGGGCGACAGTCGAGCGGCGGCGCTCGAGCCGTGCCCCGCTGGGCTGCGTCGGCTCGAAGTGCTCGGTCGGGCCGCGCCTGTCTTGCCGGCGCCGGCTGCAGACGATGGCGACGAAGGACTGGCCTTGTCCTTACTTTGACGGGTTGCGGAGCCGAGCCGCGGTCGTTTGAGCCTGGCTCCTGCTGTCACCGCTGCTGCTCCTGCGGACGACGTAGAGGCCGAAGAGGACGGCCCGACCGAGCCCGTGTTGGGCCGCTTACGACGCTCCCGAAGCGGCGGTGGCACGTTGGGGACGATGGGCTTGTCAAAGTGCGCCTGTCCACCGATGTCGCCGAAGCCGGCGTAGCCCATCGCCTGCCAGAAGGCGACGGCGGTGCTGGGGGTGGCGGCGGCGTGGAGGTAGATGGAGGAGAAGCCAAACTTGGACGCCTTGAGCTCGACGACGCTGGTGAGCCAACGACCGATGCCCCGCCTGCGCCAGATCGGGTCGACATAGAGCCGGTCGAGGTGGCCTATCTTATCGATGCTCTTGGTGGCGTAGCGCTCGCCGAGCGACTGGTAGAGCTGAGGCTCCCAGATGAAAGAGCGCAGACCGACGGTGGCCACGATCGGGCCCGTCGGGTCGTCCGACTGGCGCACGACCCAGAACGCGCCGCGGTGGCGTGCCGAGTACTGGTTGCCGTCCGGATCGAGGAGAGAGTCGAGGTCGTCGCGAGCGCTCTCAGCCGAGTCGGCACCGTACGTCTGCTTGACCATCCGGAGGCAGAAGTCCCTTGCGTGCTGGACATCGTGGCGGCGGCCCTCCTCGCCAGGGTCCTCGGCTTCGTCGACGTCGTCGACATCGTCTGCTTCATCGGCGCTGGTGACTGGCTCTGGCTCGCTGGTATCCGGGCCTGCGGTTGCGGCATCGACGGCGGCAGCAGTGTGCGCCGTGGCGTCTGGCTGATGGGCGCCGTCGCCGGAGTCGCGCTTCTTGCCCAGGCTCCTGTCGGAGAGCGGCAGCCTGCTGGGGCCGGCTGCGGCGTTGGCGGGTTCCTGGAGGAGGGTGAGCCTGAGCTGCTGGAGCGAGGACGGCTGGAGGCGGTCGACCTCCTGTTGCTCCTCCTGCCTGCGCTTGTCGGCGTTTGTCTTTCTGCCGGTGCTGTGCCTCTGTTCGAGGCTGTCGCCGGCCTTCCACATCTTGAGGTTGCGGAAAAAGGTGGCGCGCGACATGATGCCGTGCTTTTCGATGGTGTCTGCGCTGAGGTCGCCGGCCTCGTAGAGCTTGCAGAGGGCCTCTTTGAGGTCGGCGCCGATCTTGCGTCGCGGCATGGTGGAGCGACGAGGGCGCGGGTGGGCCCGGGGCCCAGCCCTCCGGCAGGTGCGGGCGTCGAGCCTGGCGAAGAGGGGGAGGGAGAGAGAGAGAAAGGGAGGATGCTGTGCGTTGGTCAACGACGCCGTCGTCGTCGTCGCCGTCGGCGATGCTGCGGTGGCAACGACGGGATGATGGTCATTCACGACCCCAGATCGAGAGGGACGAGAGCGGGGGCCGGCGGGCGAGGCGGAGTGGCGGATCGCAGTAGTCTCATGGTGGGCGGATGACAGGCTGCCAGCGAGGCCGTCGTCTGCATTTGATTGAGATTTGAATGAGCCCAACTGGCCTCGGCCTCCGTAGAATTGCACTTGGACTGCCCACCGAGCCAGCGACGCGCCATCCGCCAGCCAGAGGCCAGCTGCCGAGGCCGATCACCCCACTCGACTTTTTTTCGACGGCGGCCAGCTGCTGGCGGCGCGGTTGGGGGGCCGGCGGCTCTGCCTCGCTGGCTGGTACGGTGTGTGCTGGTGCGTGACTTCTCGCAGGCTGCCTCGCCTCGATGAAATCACGCTGCGCCGTGACGGCCTGGCCCGGCCCGGCCTCCACTCGGGAAGGTTGGGTCGGCTCAGCCGACAGCCAACACGGCGGCCGGCCGTGCGCCGCTGCGTGCGCGGATACAGGCACCTAACCACGCCGCACCGGAGTGACCCGCCTGGCCTGGTCCCGCTTCACCTCCTCCCTCTCGCCCCTCCCCCCTCGCCTCTTGCCTCTTGCCTTTCGCCTCTCGACCACCACCACCACCACCACCACCACCCGCAACGACATCACAATCACCCTACCATGAAGACGTCCACATTCACCTACGCCAGCCGCTACGACGGCGAGCTCGACGTCAAGCTCGACCTCCACGTCCCCGACTCGGCGTCGGCCTCTTCGTCGGCGCCGCTCCCCGTCGTCGTCTGGTTCCACGGCGGCGGGCTGATCCAGGGAAGCCGCAACAAGATGCCCCCACACATCCAGCGCGCCGTAGACAGGTACGGCATCGCCGTCGTCTCGCCCGACTACCGCCTCGCCCCGCAGTGCCGCGCTCCCGGCATCCTCGACGACGTGTCCGACCTGCTCGCCTTCCTCGTCGACAAGCTGCCCGCCAGCCTGCCCAGCTCGGCGCCCAAGCTCGACCTGGACCGCATTGTCCTCACCGGATCCAGCGCCGGCGGGTGGCTCGCGCTCCTCCTCGGTCTCGGCATGTGCCCGCGCACCCGCCCCGAGCTGCTGGCCAGGGTCGACGCCATCGCCGGCATCTACCCGATCACCACCATGGACCACCCCTTCTTCCTCGAGAAGCGCGTACCCTTTCTGGGGCCGCTCGCCAACCCGCCCTCCGAGTTCGCCGAGTACGTCGATCCGGACGCCCCAGCCACGGCCAACACGTTCGAGGACCGCAAGCGCAGCAACTTCTACATGCACGCCCAGCGCGAGGGCATCTTCCCCGCGCTCCTCTTCACTGACCAGCAGCGCAACGACGAGGGCTGGCTGCAAAAGACCGACGTGCCCGCCTTTGTCCGGTCGTCGAGCGAGGCGCAGCGGAAGGCCTGGCCGGCCATCTACACGATCCACGGCGCACCCGACACGGCCGTCGACGTCGACCAGTCGCGCAAGCTCAAGGCGGCCCTCGACGCCGTCGGCGTGCCGTCGACCTACGACGAGGTCCCGGACAAGGAGCAGTGAGTGCCGCCATTCGCTACGAGGAGACGATGGCAGAGCTGACGCCATGCCTCTTTTTTCGATTCCCACCTACCTGCCCGCTTCAGCCTCTGGGACGGTGAGCCGCCAGAACCTTTTGCACGTCTGCTGCTGACGACCAACGGCACACCTGCTGACCTCTTGCCCTTGCCATCGTCGTCCCTCATTGACCGCACCGCAGAGTTCGAGCCGCAAGACGACATGCCGGCATTCTGGAACTTTGTCACGGGCCGTTTCTCGGGCGCACCTTCCAAGATCTAGATCTGACAGACCAGCTGGTACGATGGGCATTGTCATGATCAAGAGTCCTCGAGGGTAGATAGCAGCAGTCGAATTGCATGTCATGTGTTCGCGCGATCGATCGGTCGGCAGCTACTTTTTCTTCTGCGCCTTGCCGCCCCGACCTCGCTTTGCAGTCGAGGCCTTGCGCTTTTTGCCGTTGGTCGTCTTGTCGTCGTCGTTGTCGCTGTCATCCTCGTCCGAAGGCGTAGCGTCCTCCTCTTGCTGGCCATCCTGCTCGCCCTGCTCCTCATCATCGCCGTCCACCCCGTCCTCTTGACCACCAACATGATCCGGCGCACCTCGAGTAGTGCGCGCTTCATGCTCCGGCGCCCTAGCCCACTGCGGGACCTTGTCACCCGGTCTCGCCTTCCACTCAAAGCGTTGCGGTCGATCCGGGAAGCCATGTTTCTTCCTCACCACCGCCTCGGCCTTTCCCTCCAGGACCTCTTTGGAATCGCCAAAAAGGCCGAGTTGGTAACAAGCCTTGATCCTCTGCATATTCTCCGTCTTGGTCTCCTTTTCATCGAGCATCGGAAACGGATAGTCGCGTCCCACGATACAACCCGCCTTTTTCTGCACCTCGATCGGCGCATTGAAGGGTTCGTAGATGTACTTGTCTGGGAACTTGGACAGCTCCGGACAGTATTTGCGCACCAGCGCGCCCGTCTTGTCGTACTTTGCCGGAAAGGTCGCCAGACCGTACAGCCGGAAGTACTGCGTGAAAAAGGCGGAACAGGATAGCCACATCCAGTTGCCTGGGTTCGAGCATGGGTCCCAGTCGATGAGGTACTGCGGCGGCGGCGACGGGGGCCAGCCGTGGGTAAGGGGAGAGAGAAGTGGGCGGCAAGGGAGGCTTGTCAGTCCGGCCGAAGCAGCGAGGCAGCCGCAGCGAAAACAGGGCAAACCCAAGAAGTGGCGTGCCGCCCCGCCACGCCACGTACCTCGTCAAAGATCTCGGCACCCCGCTCCCAGCTGATCCAGCATTGCCCGCGCGTCAGAAAGGCGGCGACCGAGTGCCGTCCGAGGTGGTGCATCCACCCTTCGAGGCGCAGCTGGCGCATCAGGGCGTCGATCCAGGGGAAGCCCGTCTGGCCCATCTTGTATGCCGAGAGCCGCGCCTCGCTCACCTCGTCGCCCGGCGGCCGAGGCATGATCGCCTGTCCATCCTTGTCATACACGGTGGGCAGATACCAGTCCATCTGAGCGGGGCGGGAGCCATAAAGGGAGGTGGCGGACAGGGTTGGGGAGGTGTAAGCGATGGTTGCGCCGCCTTTGTCCTGGCAGACGTCCCGCAGCGACGACTCACGTAGCGGCAGACGCTATTGCCCCTGACCTGGTTGAAGGCGTCGCCGATGGCATGCTCGGCGCAGGCGTACATGTCTCGGAAGAGGAGCTGGCCATTGAGGTTCTCCGGGGGCGCCGTCTTGCTTCCGCCCTTGTACTTTTTCTTGGCCTCCTCGGCGTCCCACCAGAGCTTCCTCACGCTGAGGCAGCCAAACTTGAGGTAAGGCGAGAGGAGCGTCGTCGATGGGTCGCTGGCGTCCTGGCCGGGCGACGTCTTGGGCTTGGCAAACGTGGCGACGTACTCGGCGTCCTTGCAGATGTTGCCGAGCTTCTTGAGCGCCTCGACCTCGCCGCCCTTGATCGTGTCGCGCACCTTGGACGCGTCCATGCCGAGCGAGGCGAGCGTGGGCACCGAAAAGAGCGACGAGGCGTCGCCGTTGAGCGTGTCGTAGCAGGTCAGCTCGCCATCGCGCTGCCCGCCCAAGGTGGCCGAATTGAGGTCGACGTCGGCTGGACCCTCGCGCCCCTTTCCTGTATAGTGTGGCAGCCCTTCGAGCGACTTGGCCAGCTCAGAGAGCAAGTCCGGCAGCTTGGCGGTTTTGGAGCCCTCTGGCTGCGGGAGCGGCAGGTCCTTGGGCGCGTCGAGCGGCTTGGGCACGTCGCCGATGTCGGCCACGATCTGAAGCATGGCAGCCAGCGGAAGGCTCTGGGCGTCAGCTCTCTGGGTCAGGGGGGGAAGGCACCTCATCACGGCAGCCTGGCCCGATTCTAACCTTTTGGAGCGTGCTGATGGCCATGGTGGGCTTGCCCTTGTTGCGCTTGACGACGTCTTCGGGGTCGTAGAGGTGATGCCCCTGGACCGCTACGATCTCGACTTTGCTCTTGGCTGCGGCCTCTTTGATGAGGGCATCGCGTCTGCGTCCGTACGCCGAAGGGTCCTGCAGATTGGGGGTGATAAATGGGGTGTCAGTCAGACGGCACCGGGGGGTGGGACTAGGAAGGGGGCAGGAACCGCAGCTTACCTTTTCGATGACGAGGTGGGTGATCTTCCAGCGCTTCCAGAGCTCTGGGAGCAGCTCGGTGGGCTCGCCGCGGACGACGAGGAGCTGCGAGTTGGCCTGCGTGTTTGTGATCTGGTCCGAGAGCACCTGCATCGACTCGAGGAGGAAGCGGAAGCGGTTGATGCCGACGCGGTGCTTGTAGACATACTGGGCGGGGGGGGGGGGGGGGGGGGGGGCGAAACAGTGGAACGAAGGCAAGAAGGGGGCAGGTCAGCGGCTGAGTCGCAGAAGGGCGGCATGGCCATCGGCGACTGACGTTGGGATCCCAGCACCAGACGGGGAAGAGGGCGGCGGGTTTGAGGTCGAGGGCGGCCTGGAGGGCGGGCGAGTCGTGTAGACGCAGGTCGGTGCGGAACCAGTAGAGAACGCGGGCTGCGCCTTGCTTGACCATGTTTTAAGCAGAGGGAGGGTACGGTTGAGGGAGATGGCGGGAGTGGTGGTGGTTGCTGAGGTTGGAGGACCGTCGAGGGCACGAAGGGTGGAAGGCAGCTTTGTTTGGCGCAGGCCCACCATGCCTTGTCTGGCCGCTGCACGTCGATCCATAGCCGGCCAGATCTGGATCGAGCCAGATCGACCCTCTGGCTGCCTGTCAAAAGAGAAGGTCGGATGCAGACAGGAGGAGCAGCCCGTACCGACAGCCCAGCCCAGCTTGGCCCTTAGCTCAGCTGGCGAGGACCCTGGCGTTGGCTGCGTTGGCTGCGTTGGCTGCAGGCGGCTGCAGGCGGCTGTAGGCGGCTGCCCCTCGGAGACTTCAATTGTGGAGGCCTGGACGCGCCCCTCGCACTCTACGCGACAGGTCGCAGCTCGATTTCCTCCTCTGGTCAGCGCCCCCAAAATATCGGGAGTCGGCAGATTTTCTTTTTCGGATCCGACTGCCCATGCCAGCTCGGGCTAGGCCAACCCGTCTAATTGGCCGGCCAGCAGATTGCCGTGACCCTCGGCCGCGTGGCTGCCTCGGGGATCTGCCACTAGGCTTGACCAGTCCCTGCAGCCAGCCTCACCTGCAGCCGGCGAGCGAGTTTACCGCCCGCCGCCTGCACGGACCGGCAATGTCGCCGCGCACCCACCACCACGTACGCTTCCACTCCGCTCCGCTCCGCAAGCCTCGTTCTTCTTGCCAGCGCGGGCCAGGCCATGCTGCCCGCTCAGCTGCTCGTGCTCGGCGACCACCGAAGGCGGGATGCTGGCCAGAAGCTCCTGCGAGCCTCGACGGCCTCGACGACCTGATAAAGCAGCCGCCCTCATCCGTCTACCTCGTTCGTCTCGCCCCCTCCCACCCTCGCTCCGCCTCAACCTCATACACCCTCTCCGCCAAACCATCGCAGCCCGCTTCCCGCCATGGCCGGAGTCAACCCCTACGCTGCCCCCGCCTCGCACGGCGACGACGCCCTCCCCGTCGCCTCTTCGACGGCCAAGATCGACTTCCAGCACGCCGCCTCGCTCAAAAACACCCGCCTCACCGTCGCCGCCCACTCGCTCCTCCACCCAAAGGGCACCGAGCCCGTCACCGACAAGCTCTACTCGGGCTTCGTCGAGCACCTCGGCCGCGGCATCTACGGCGGCATTGTAGACAACCCGAGCGACCCCAGCCCCTCGCACCTCCTCCAGCCCCAGCAATTTGACGGCCAGAAGCACACCGAGGACCGCCTCGGCTTCCGCAAGGATGTCATGAAGATCATCGCAAAGGATGGCGAGCTCGAGATGCCCATCCTCCGCTGGCCCGGAGGCAACTTTGTCAGCAACTACCACTGGCAGGACGGCATCGGACCCATCTCGCAGCGCCCCAAGCGCGTCGAGCTCGCCTGGCTCTCGACCGAGACCAACCGCTTCGGCACCGACGAGTTCATCGAGTACTGCAGGGAGCTCAAGGTCGAGCCCTACCTCTGCCTCAACATGGGCACGGGCACCTACGAAGAGGCCCTCGCCTGGCTCGAGTACTGCAACGGCACCGGCGACACCTACTGGGCCAACCTCAGGCGCAAGAACACGGGCAAGGACGAGCCGCACAATGTCAAGTACTGGGGCCTCGGAAACGAGATGCACGGCCCCTGGCAGGTCGGCTTCCTCAACGCCACCGACTACACAAAGATGGCCGCCCGCTGGGCCCACGGCCTCAAGCTCGTCGACCCGAGCATCAAGCTCGTCTCGTGCGGCAACCAGGGCAACTCGGAGTGGGACCGCGAGGTCCTCATGGGCCTCATTGGCATCGTCGACTACCACTCGATCCACCTCTACTCGATGCTCGGCCACGAGCGCTTCAGCACCGTCGTCGGCTTCGACTACGAGAAGAACGTCTTTGGCCCGGCGGCGGCCGAGCGCGGCATCGAAATCTGCCAGTCGCTCATCGATCTGGCAAAGATCCAGAACGCGACGGCCATCCTGGACTGGAACAAGTTTGACCAAAAGGTGACGGCGCGCGACGTCAAGATCTGCTACGACGAGTGGAACGTGTGGGACGAGGTCAAGGCGCCCGGCAGCAACGGCCTCGAGCAGGCATACGACTACACCGACATGCTTGGCGTGTGCGCCTGGCTCAATGTCCTCGTGCGCAAGTCGAAGGACATTGGCATCGCCTGCATCGCCCAGAGCGTCAATGTCATCTCGCCGCTCCTCACCTCGCCCGATGGCCTCCTCTTCCAGACGACCTACTGGCCCCTCCGCCTCTTTTCCAAGTACATGAAGAACGGCCACCTCCTCAACCTCGGCTTCACGCCCGAAGTCTAGTGAGTGGCAGGCGTGGCGGCGGCCCGCGAATGCAGAGTGGCGATGCTGACTTTGACGACTCTCACACTGTCTTGCCCCGGCCCTCCCCGCTCCGCCCCGCAGCTCCGGCCCGACCTACCCGGCATGGATCCAGCACATGGCGGCGCCGGCGTACGTCGACGTCGTGGGTCTGATTGCGCACGACGAGCAGGACAGCAACAAGGCGAGCATCCGGATCAGTGTGCTCAACCGCCACCCCTCCGCCGACTGGGCGGGTCAGTTTGATTTCGAGGACTTCAAGGTCGAGAGCGTCGAGAACCACACGGTCTACTCGGACGACCTCTCTGCCAAGAATACCTTTGACAAGCCGGACACGGTCAGGCCGGAGGTGACGACCAAGACGGGCGACGAGTGGGCCCAGCAGGCCAGCTGGACTGTGAGGAAGCACTCGTGGAGCTTCTTTATCTTCCAGGGTAGCCTTGCCTGAGGGATCTGGGCTTGAGTTGGCGTCGTCGTCGTCGTCGTCGTCGTCGTCGTCGTCACAGGCAGGCAGGCGGATGTGTTTAATGAGCAGAGTGCAATCCATATAGACGGTCCCGCATCTCTACTGCCCAGGATGGCACCCTTGACGTCGCGTGGTCCGTGCCCACCATCGTCCGGAGCGCTCGCCTTTCTTGATGCCGGTGAGGGTCCGGTTGGTCGTGAGCCGAGGCCTGAGGAAGGGATCTCAGAGATCACCGGGGGAAGCCCTGCCTGATCTTTCCAACCCCGTCCCGGCGGCAGCGGTAATCTCGCTCGCGCCTCTCTGTGGCGAGCGGAGTTGGTGGTGACATGTGGGTGGCACGAGATTACCGACGCGATCTTGGTTGAGGCCTCAACCGAGTGTCACGCTCCCCTCGAGCTTGCTTGGACGGGTTCGGATTCCTGCTTTCCGCTCCTTCGGAACGCCCCGCCCAGAAGGGGGCGGCATCTGAACATGCATGTGCACCGATACGTACGTGCTCGGCCTGCCTTGGGTACGATGGGCAGGCAGGGCGGATCAGCGACGACGTCGGAAGCCGAACCTCCCCGTCGGCTCGTTTTCAAAGACGGAGAGCACACGTACAGCTGTAGTGTAGGTACCGGTAGCAGAAGGTCCCGTCACCCCGGGAGCACACTCGTAGGTTCTTCGGTCATCTCTTCGTTCTGTACATGTACATGTGCCTCTGTAGCGGTGAACCATGCAGTGCAGTGCTGCGCGGGTCGGGAGGTCGAGGACGACGACGACGCCGACGCCAATGCCGATGACGAAGGACAACGTGGCCTCGATCCTGCAGCCAAGACCTGGCTAGACGCGCGTTCCTTGCACACCACGTCGATCGTCTCACGGTCCTTGTTCGGTAGAGGCACGGTGAGGCAGAAGGAAGTCGCGGGGCGGGGCGGTGCGGTGCGGTATTGACACGGTCGAGATTGCCGGATGACCCAACGTAGTGGCCCGACCTGCAGGGGTGCTGCGGCTGGGATGGGGGACAAAAGCTTGCTGTGGCGACGGCAGGCGGCTCCGTACGGGCGCCTGCACCTCATCGGGTCGAGATTCTTTGAAGGTTTGGGCGGTAGGCGACAGGCGGTTGGCGGGCGATTGCGAGTCGTACGAGCTGTACTCTGACGGCGTTGGACATGCTCGATGGCCGGTCGGTCGATCGTTCGCCCTCCTCAGTCCAAGAGAACGCAGGGACTGTGTGCCCGCCCACCCCACCATCGTTGCTGAGGGCGCCCGCGTCAAAGAGGATCCGCGTCGGACCAGCAGGACGACGAACCGGTCAAGTCTGTTTGCCACGCGCTGCGCTTTCCTCGAGAGAGGGAAGGATTGCCGAAAAGTCGGACCCCCTCCCAACGTTGACTTGGGCCAAGACAGAGGCGGGCTGCTGTCCTGGCCTGGGGCGTGTGGAGAAGTCCGGGGAAGTGATGGCGGCTGCTCGACGACGTACGGAGCCCCGGATTTCTCTCTCCCGGACACCCTCCGCCGTCGTTGCCCCCTTCCGCGCGCTCGGTTGGCCACGTCCTCCTGTCCCCGCACCTCCCTTTCTGCCACCGCGGCGCATGCTTTGTCAAGACCAGAGACCAGCAGGAGCCGGGTGGCCTCGACGACAATTGCCGACAACGCTCGCGCGAGGGAAAGTGGGACGCACATGCCGAGTGCACTGTATGGGGCTGAGCCGCTTCCCCACGGCTGCTTCAGCGGTGAAAGTATCTCCCTGGCAGTGTGCTAGAAGCTCCTTCTGAGACTGTATATATGGACGCCCGCCGTCGACATGGCATCGTTCCCCGTCTCGCCATCATCCATCCTGACCTCTTCCTCCCTCACCTGCCCTCCCTGTCCTCGGCCCGGATCCACCCGCCCACCTCGTCCCGTATTCCCACCGCCCACCATGCGTTTCTTCGGCCTGTCTGCGGCCAAGGTGCTGTCGCTCTGCGCGGCGCTCGCCTGCCAGGTCTCGGCGGCTCCCTCGTCGCCCGCGAGCTCCAAGCACGTCTCGAAGCGCGACTTTGGACCCGTGACGGTCTACACGCCGCCGAGCACGTTTGAAAAGGAGCGATCCCTCTACGGACGCAGCGTCGTCCTCTCGGACAAGGTGAGGCCAGCGGCAGACGGCCCCTTGCCGGTACGACGAGCGAGTTGCCAGAGCCCGGGATCCTGACTGCGCTTCGCCGCCCCTTCCCCCTCGCTCCTCGGCCGCGCCCCAGACGATCCTGGCCACGTCGGAGATCTACGACCCGAGCGCCGATCCGAACAAGTCGTTTTTCCCCATCTTCCGCTCGGCGGACCAGGGCAAGACGTGGAAGCAGATCTCGCAGGCCAAGGACCAGGTCAACAACTGGGGATTCCGCTACCAGCCCTTCCTGTACGAGCTTCCGGCGCCCTTTGGCGGTTTCCCGGCGGGCACGGTGCTGCTGGCGGGCAACTCGATCCCCAAGGACCTGTCCAAGACGCAGCTGGACCTGTACGCCAGCACCGACAAGGGGCTCAGCTGGAAGTTTGTCTCGCACATCGCGGCGGGCGGCAAGGCGCTGCCCAACAACGGCCTGACGCCCGTGTGGGAGCCGTTCCTGCTGCTCAACGGCAACCAGCTCATCTGCTACTACTCGGACCAGCGCGACAGCCGCTACGGCCAGAAGATGGTGCACCAGGTCACGTCGGACCTGCGCGCGTGGGGCCCCGTCGTCGACGACGTCACCTACCCTGTCTACGACTACCGCCCGGGCATGCCCATCGTCTCGAAGCTGCCCAACGGAAAGTACATCATGACCTACGAGTTCTACGGCGCCAAGGAGGGCGGCTTCTCGGTCTACTACAAGATCTCGGCCGACCCGACCAAGTTTGGCAGCGCCACGGGCGTCGTCCTCAAGGCCACCGACGGACACGTCCCCGTCGGCAGCCCGTACAACGTCTGGTCGCCCGCCGGCGGCGCCAACGGCTCCATAATCGTCAGCGCCTCGTCCGACTCCGACGTGTTTGTCAACAAGGGCCTCGGCGAGCCCGGCAGCCAGTGGGTCCGCGTCAAGACCAACGCACCCAAGGCCTACTCGCGCTCCCTCGCCGTCGGCATCAACCGCAACACCGAGTTCTACATTGTCGCTGGAGGAGAGCTCAACCAGGGTCCCACCAACAAGGTCACCTTTACCAGCCAGTCGATCTGAGCGGCGGCGCGAGCTGGGGGGCCCCGGCCACAGACGCGGCCTCCAGATCTTCCTTTGCGCAAGAGGGGGACCTACCTCTTCTCCGCCTCGTTTGCTTCCCTCTTCCCTCTTGGCGATGCTCTTAGCTCCTTGGGGACTGTTGTCGGTAGCCCTCGTACGATATCACGAATCGAGCAACGGAAACGAAGTCATGTAGACTGTGCAAACGGCTGAACGAGCTCCGAGGTCGAGATCGAGGTCGGGGTCGCGAACGACGCGCCACGAGATCGGAGCCGTGCGGGGAAATTTCAAATTCCCTTTGGTGCGGGCGGGCTGGTTGAACCGTGCACGACGGCCCGACCCGACGCACGGTGGCAGGGTCCTTGGTTGCCTGTCGACTTCCGCCTCTTTCCTTCCAACCTCTCTGTTGTGCAACCACCACCCCTCCTTTGACCGTATCGCTCCCTCGCCCCATTGAAGAACCATGGCGACGGACGGAGCGACGACGTCGACACCCGCGCCCATCTCGACGTCGGAGTGGTGGAAGGTGCACGGCGAGCCTCGACCTCGCGATCCCGCTCTGCCGCAGCTCGACGTCGAAGAGGTGGCATCCTGGTACCAGCCGGGTGACCGTGCCCTTCGACCGGGCGTCGATTTCCTGATTGTCGATGTACGACGCTCCGATTGCGAGGTACGTTGCGTTCGTCTGCGCTCCGATTGCGTCCTCCCATCCCGTCTCGCTCCTCTTTCGTGCTAAACCATCGAACCCCGTCCCTTTGGCTGCTGGTTCGACCAAAGACAATGATCCCAGGTGCCATCAACCTACCGGCCCATTCTCTGCCCCACTCCCTCCCCTCGCTTCTCCCCCTCCTCTCATCGGTACCCCGCCTCGTGTTCCACTGCAACTCGTCCAAGGGAAGGGGACCCCGCGCTGCAGGCTGGACGGCCGACGCGCTCGACGACTACCGCGCCGCGAACCCCGGCGCCGAGGTAAAGGCGCAGGTCTACGTTCTCAAAGGCGGCATCGTCGCGTGGAAGGAGAGATTCGGCGAAGCGAGCCTCGATCAGCGCGGCGCAAAGGTCGACGGTCTGCAGACGAGGCACCTCTGAGCTGATCCGCTTCTTCTTTGGCAAAAAGGCGATTCCAGTTAATGTACAGAGAGAGGAGGGACGTCGGCCAGATCCGGTGGGCGATGCCCGGCCCGTCACAGTTGTCCATGCGCCGTCTAGAATTTGCCTGCGATGCGGCGGACGGCAGTGAGCAAAGAGCGGTCAGTGATGAGTCCGTCTGCGATGACTAAGCCGGAGGCGGACGCCCCGAGGGTCTACTCACCAACGAGAAGGTTGCCAATCATCTCCCTCGCCGTGATCCAGACCGTCAGGCCAAAGGTGGGGAAGTCGAGGGTGGAAGAGAGCACGTCGGCCAGACCAAACGGCAGCATGGGCGGGATCCAGCCTGAGTGTGCGGTCACAGAGCAGGCAAGAGAGAGGGATGAAGGGCGACACGGATGTCAGCGATGAAGACGTTTCGCTTTCGCCGCGGCTCGCACGGCTGCTCACCCTGAGCGAGCTCGAGCGCCCAGCAGCCGGTCTCGGGCATCATGTACTGCTTGACCAGGCCTCGGCGCAGGTGGTGGACGCTGCCGGCGGGGTAGTGCTCCGGCACGAGGGCGCCGGGCGCATAGGCGTACTGGTCGCCCACGAGGATGTTGAAGTAGTCGTCGGCCTGTGCGGGGATGGGAGCGAGAGAGGGCACAGCAAGTCAGCCTTGCCTTTTCGTGTGTTTTTCCCCCAGACGACGGTCGAGTCTGCTCTACTCACGGTGTGTCGGCCAGTGTGTCCCTCGGTTCCGACGGGCGATCCAAAGAAGATGAGGTACTGTCGCATCCCAGGGTCGCTGCAAGTCAGGCGCCAAAGTCACTTTAATTTCCTCGCTTTCGACCACCTGCTCACCTCTGTGATGGACGCGTGGATGATGAACATGGATCCCATTGCGCCTCCGGCGTTGTTGAACATCCACTCTTCGGGCTGGGAAAAGTGGTTGGCGTTGAGGTAGGGCGCCTTTTTGGGGTCTGCGCGGAGCTGGGTGAGGATGTCGTCAAAGATGGCGTGGGTGTCGTTGGGGTGGGCGGCGACGGCGCCCGAGGCGATCTTGTACAGGTCGGCGTGGTCAAAGATGTAGAATTGCGACTGTCAGAGGAGGGGAGGGGAGAGGAGAGGGCGATGGTCGGTCAGCGGGGACAAAGGCGCAGAGCAGAGGGCAGGCAAAGCGGAGCGACATTGCGATGCTCACTTTGATGCGCTCCAGGATGGTGACGGTGGCGGCGAGGCCGGCGACGATGATTGCGAGCCAGAGGGACCAGTGGAAGCCGCCGCTGGAGGCGCGCTTGGTGCCCGCGGCGGAGGGCGAGGACTTGGACTTGGACTTGGCCATGGTGGGATCTGGAGCTGAATGAGCGTGGGGGGTGTGGACTGGACGGTTTGGAAGGTGAGGGGGAAGGTAGGAAGCCAAAGCAAAGCAAAGGAGCGTGGATGGTGGTTGCGAGCGGGACAGAGGTGAAGGTGCAGTTCAGTGTCAGGGTCGGCCTGTTGCTCTCGGGCGGCGAGAAGGAACCGGGCAGAGGCCGACATCAGCCGATTTTCCCAACACGCGGAAAATGGAGCTCGAGCCGCGCCAGGCGGGGGGGGGGCACACCAACACCGAGCCATCCCGCCCGACATCCGACCCAAGCCAGGCCTTCCTGCTTGGCTGCAGCGACGGCTGCGCTGGGGTGACGCGAAGATCCCCAAGACGCGTTGGCGTAGAGAGGATGAGCAAAGCAGGCGCAGGCAGGCGCAGGCAAGGCAGGCCAGGCCAGACCCATGAGCCCTAGACGACGCTTTCCGCCGCCGCCCTCCTCCACTCTACTACTAGTTACTCACCGACGGGCGCCCGCACGCCTCCATTGACCACCTTCAAGCTTCCCCTCTTCCGCTCCTCGCGCGCGCGCGGGACTCTACAGTACGGTGCCACCACCACCACCCTCGGTCCCCTGCCGCCAACCTTCATCAGGCCATCCTGGCACTGCCTTGGCCCCCGTCCACACCCTCGCCCCCTTTGCCGTCGTCATCGGACCCCCTCCTGCCCACCATGAACGAGGCCACCGACTACGAGCAGGAGCGCCTGCGCAATATCCGCGAAAACGAGGCCCTCATGCGCGAGCTCGGCGTGCTCCACGGCTCAGAGACCATCGGCGCACCACGCCGCCGCAAACCCGCCCCTGGCTCGGCCAAACCTCGCGCAAAACGCTCAGGCGCAACTCCCACCAAGCGCGAAAAGGCGCCCACCCGCGTCCAGCCATCCAGGAGCAGCGCGCGACTCGCAGGGCACGAGGCAGACAGCGAGGCCGTCAAGCGCAAGTACGAAAAGGAGGCAGAAGAGGCGCGCATCGAGGCAGAACGCGCAAAGCGCGCCAGGCACGGCCAGCACGACCTCGCCACCATGACCGGCGGCGAGCTCGAGGCACAGCAGATAAAGGCACTCGAAGACACCCTCGCGGGCCTCGCCTCCAACATGGCAAAGGCCGCAGAGCTCGTCGACGTCGGAGACGAGAAAAAGCAGCGCAGCGACGCAAAGTCGGCACCGCGCAGCGAGCTCGAGGCCGTCCTCAACCGCATGAAGCTGCGCAGCGCCGCCAAAGTCACCCAGCGTCGCGTCTATTCGATGGCCTACCACCCCACCACCGACAAGGACCTCGTCTTTGTCGGCGACAAGGAAGGCTCCATCGGAATCTGGGACGCCGCCGCACCGCGCGGCTCCGGCGCAAAGGAAGACGACGCCGCCGACGAGGATGAAGACGAGAAGCAGGTCAAGCGTGACCTGGCGCCGAAAGCGGAAGCGGGGACGGAGCCAGAGGCCGACGCGGGCGACGACGGCGACGACGATGACGAGGGCTACGTCCCAGAGGGCAAGGCGTGGTCGCTCCAGGTGCACGGCAGGAGCCCCGTGACGTCGCTCAAGCTTGACCCGGTCTCGGCCAGCACGCTCTTCTCGGCGTCGTACGACTCGACCATCCGGCGGCTCGATTTGGCGACGCAACAGTCGACCGAGGTCTGGGCGGGCCAGGACGACGTGCTGCTGTCTGTCTTTGACGTGCTGTCGCCCTCGACCCACGCCTCGGCGTTCACCGCCACGCCCAACCCGTCGCTCGACGAGCGGAGCATCTGGATCGCCGATCACCGCGGCGGGCTGCTGCACATCGACCTGCGCGAGGGGCGACGGCGCGGCAACGCGACGAGCCGACGGTGGCAGGTGTGCGAGAAGAAGATCGGCGCCATGTCCGTCAACCGCCTTGCGCCGCACTGCATCGCCACGGCCTCGCTCGACCAGCACATCCGGCTGTTTGACGTGCGTGCGCTCAGCGCGCTGCCCGAGACCAACGACGCGCCGTACACGTACAAGAACGTCGACGGCGACGAGCTCGACACGGTGCACGCCGAGGCGCAGTTTGCCGCGCACAAGGCGCGCCAGGCGTGCACCAGCGTCGACTTTAGCCCGCGAGGCGACCAGCTGCTCGGCGTGAGCTACGACGACGTCGTCAAGGTGTGGGACCTCCATCCGACCTGGCTGTACTCGCGGCGCGGCGTCGAGACGAGGAAAAAGGGCCCCGCCGCCCAGGGAGCCGCTCCCAAGGCGCCGGAGGCGAGAGGCGGGGGCAGGGTCCTGAGACGGTCTCGTTCTGGCCGGTTCCGCAGTGCGCACGAGGAGGACGAGGACGAGGAAGAGGGCCAGGGCGAGGAAGAGGGAGAGGACGACAAGGCCGCCATCAAGGTCGAAGACGAAGTCAAGCCCGAGGCGAAACCAACCCGGCTGCTCTCCTGGTTCCGTTCTGGCGGGAGAACGAAGAAGGAAGCCGTCAAGATGGAACCAGAGCAGCAAGACGCGCTTGCGGTCGAAGAGGAGAAGTCGAAGTTGGAAGCGGTCGAGGTCGGCGAGGACGAAGTCAAGGACGAGGATGAGGACGAGGTCGAGGTCGAGGGTCGGCCAACGGACCTGCTGGGTGCGCCGACGACGATACCGCACAACAACCAGACGGGCAAGTGGCTCACGCTCTTCCGGGCGCGCTGGCACGCCAACGCCGGAGTGGAGCCGCACTTTTCCATCGGCAGCATGACGCGCCGCGCCGAAATCTACGCCGCCGACGGTACGCTCCTCCGCGCCCTGTGGGACCCAGAGGTCGTCACGGCCGTACCCGCCGTCACCGTCATGCACCCCCTGCTTCCCGGCAAACTCGCAACGGGTAACGCCTCGGGGCGCTGTACGTTTTGGGACGCTGAGTAGACCCGTCGTTGTTCGTCGTCGTTGTCGTCGTCGTCATTGTCATGGTCGTTGTTCGTCGTCGTCGTCGTCGTCGCGGGGTACCGACGGAGAGGTGCCGTATTCCCCGGCATTCCGCATACACGAACTCGCAGAGATGCGTCCGTCCGCTCTCCTGACGCTTGCCCGCTCGTTCGCCGTGCGTGCGTGTGCGTGTGCGTATGTGCATGCCTGGCATGGCATGGCATGACATGGCATGGCGTGGCCAAGATGGGTCGAAGGGGGGTATCGAGATTCCGACGTTGGCCTCCGAAAGATGGCGGTGCATGGCCAAGGAGACCGAGAGCGCACGGGGATAGGGGGCTTAGAAGTACAGCAGTGTGCGGAGCGCGGGGCGGGGGCGGGGGCAGGGGTACAAGGGATAGCGAGGACGTGATGTAGTTCAGACTGGAGCATGGGGTGGATGGGTGCACAATGGGAGCGAAGCGAGGGGGGGCCGGTCATGTCGGGACGAGGTAGTCTCCCGCTCCGAGATCGTCGTACGGCCACAGGATGAACGAGACGACCTGCAGCGGTAGCACCGCCAGCGAGAGGACGAGTTGGAGCACGGCCACTGCTCCCTCGCGTACCGTCCAGACGATCGGGATGTGCGACGATGCCGAAGAAGACGACGAGCGGATCCAGTCCGGCACGGCTCGGGTGCGCAGAAACGACAGCGGGACCGGGTGGGCCCACGTCGTCGAGGGCGAGGCGTAGGCGTAGAGGTCCGGGTAGAACGGGTCAAAGTACGTCGTGTGGTACAGCCGGTCGGCGCGGGCATGGGCGGCGCGCAGCATCAGCCACAGCACCACCAGATGCGAGACGACGGCGACAAAGAGGAAGCGCCTGCTCCGGCAGAAGGGCTGCAGCTCCACCTCACGCACGATGGTGACCGTGTGGCGTCCGCGGTGCTTGCCGCTTCGGGAGAGTTTCGACCCCAGACTCGACACGAGCAGGGCGAGTCGGCCCCGTAGCGTATTGATCTTGGTGACCGACGACGTGTCTGCGTCGGCGTCGGCGATCAGGTCCAGAGCTTGCGCCTTTTCGACCAGCTCGGCCGCGGTCCCGGCATGGGTGGCATCGCCTTGGTTTAGGGCCGGCCTCGTCGGCAGCGCAGCGACGACATCCTTGACCGCCTCTTGCACCTTGCTTGCCGTGTCTTGGAAAGCTAGGGCTGCCCCGCCCTGCTCGGAGGCCCGCTCGTCCTCTTCGCGTCGCTTGAGCGCCGAAAGGATCTGGTCCATGGTGATCCGCACCGAGTCGTCCTCCTCTGGTCCCGCTGCATCGCCAGAAGGGTATGTGATCGTGGCGAGGTCGATGCGCTGAGGGGTCGGCTTGGTCGGCGTATCGAGGACCGGTGGCGTCTTGCTGACCGGATGGGATAGGGTGGATCGGCTCCGGTCGTTCACCGAGGTGGTTCTGGGCGGCGTCGATTCGCGTGGCGCCTGGGACCTGTATGCAACCTGGTGTCGGGCCCGCGAGGACAGCATGCTGGACTCATCGAGGCTACCGATCGACAGGCCGTCGCCCTGACTGAGGGCCTCTTCCTCGATGCGAGACGATTCGCTGCTCGGCATACTGTTGCTGTTGCGGAGCGACAAGGCCTGAGGTCGTGGCGATGCTCGAGACGCTGCGCGGGAAGCGGCCAGCCTCTGCTTCTGTGCCGGAGACATGTTGCGGGCCGGCGACGAGGGAGACGATGAGATCGATGGTATCGAGGCCAGCGCAGGTAGGGGCGGGCTGGTGGTTCGAGCGGCTGGTGCAAGCTGGCGATGTTGCTCGTGCTTGTCTTGTTGGTGCTCGTCGACGAGGGAGTGGTCGAGGTCGCCACGATGGTCGGCGTCGGGACGAGGGTCGGCGTGCTCTGCAGTCGAAGACGGAAGGCCGGGTGCATGCATGCCGCCCCACGCCTGCCTCCTGGAATCCATGCGTGCACTGGCCATGGCTGCACCTCGGGCCTGGTTTGGAGTTGCAATGTATCCGCCGGGCACCTGCAGGCTGACGCTGCGGTTCGGAGTGGCAGGAGCTGCCAACTCCACTTGGGCCTGCAGGTGGTGCGAGCGCGACTCGTTTTCGAGCTGCAGCGCCCTTTCTACGGGTGCCAGAGAGATCTGGACCTCGGAGGGCGGGTGAGCGGATGCATCCTCGCCTCGGCCCTCGCCGCCCCCTGGCTGCCGCTCGAAATCGTCCGAGCTGGGATCCGGAGATGGAGGGGCATCGAGGTGGTGCCGGTTGACCACGCGGAGACCACCGCCCGCACCGCCCAGCGCAGCCGTCTCATCCGGACTGCCGTTACCGTCGTCGTCATCAGCGTCGTCGGATCCTGCACCGGATCCAGAGTCGGACCGATAGTCTGGTTGTGGACTGAAGCGAACGCTCCTCCGGCGACGCTCAGAGTCGAGGCTGAGGCTGTTCGACGTCGTGTGGGCAGCGTCACCTTCCTCGATGGCGGGCGACAGGGATGCCTTGAGCGCAGCCTCATCGTGACTGCTCGAGGTCGACGATTGCGGTCCCGTCACCGAGAGCTCTGGGCCGCCGAGGATCTGGTTCATCGCGCGAGCTGCAGCTGCGGGTGTCCCCGGCAGGTTCCTGCTCAAGCTCACCACCGTCGATCGCTGTCGCCGGTGGACGGCATTGCGTGGCGATGTGGCCGGGCTCGACCCAAGAGAGCCTCCAAAGGATGAGGTCGTGGGACTCGCCTCGCTCGGGGAGCGACTGGCCGGAAAGGCGAAGCCAGCATCCAGTTGCGGCGAACGCGCAGGCGGTCGCAGCAGGCTTTGCACTTGCCGCGAGCTGGGCGAGAAAGCGTTGCCGGATGGCTGTTCCGATCGGTGCTGCATCGATCCATCTTGCCTGGACGATCGGCTGATGACTTGCTCCAGAGCCTCTCGAAGGTCGTCCTCATCCTCGTCGTCCTCGTCCTCGTCCTCGTCCTCGTCTTCATCTTCCTCTGGAATGGGAACGGCAGCGGCCGAAGACTCGAAGTGCAAAGTGGCCCCGCTTGCTTCGCCACTCAGGTACGAGGCATCCAAGGGAGGTGGCCGCTCCTCGGTCGGCTGGTCCTCGACCGTGTAGGGCGTCTTCTCTGTCGATGCGGCTGCGGCCGCACGTGCGTCGACGGCATCGAGACGCTCATCAGCGTGGTCATCGCTTTCGCTCGACGACGAATCTTCGATAGCACTCCGGCGCGGACTCTGATAGCTCCCGCGGTCGGCGGCCGAGGCCTGCCCTGGCGCCGTGGTCTCGTCAAGCTCAGCAGCCGCGTCGAGAGTCCGATCGAAGCTCGCGGTCCCTGCTGACAGCCTCCGCAGTCTGGCCTTGCGGACACGCGCCAGAGCTCGCGCGCGGGCGGATTCAGCCTGGCCGTCAGTGTCCGCCCCGGTGGCAGTAGAGTTTCGCTCGCTCTGCGGCTGCGTGGAGTTTGAGGACTGCTCGAAAGGAGGAGCGTCTGTGCCGGAGTAAGGGTCGGTCGAGCCTATCGGCGTTTGCTCGCGGGCCGACGCTCCGGCCGGCCCCCCGCTCTCTTCGGGATCATGACGATTAAGTTCTGCAGCCCAGACCTGCCCAGCTGCCGGGGATGCCTGTTTGCGCTGTTCCCAGCCGAGGGCTCGGGCGGCTCGTTCGCGCTCGCGCTGGAGTCGCTTCTCTTCTCGATGGGCTGCCTCCTCTCTGAGCCGCTCCTCGCGTTCCCGTTGCATCCTCTCGAACACTGCGGCGATGCTCCGTCGGTCTGGGACAGGCCGCGTCGTCGCTGCTAGAGAAGCGCTCTGAGGAGTCGATCGCCGATCGTCAAGCCCTCGCAGGGGCGAAGGCGTGTCTCGAGACGCTGTGAACGACGAGCTTCCGACCTCGCCGCGTGTCGATCGCACCGGCGACGACTTGGCTCTCTCCAGCGACGGCACTTTCGGAGGCAGACGACTGCTGTGCAAAGCAGACTCGTCCGACAGTGCACGCTCGACGTCCTTGTGGACCCGAGGAGCGACGTCCGTGCTGTTGCGCTCGGGTCGCCTTGCCCAGCGTGCCAAGAGCTGGGACCGAGAGGCGAGGCTCTGCTCAACGTCGCTGTCGCTGTCGGTGCCTTGGTCGAGCCCCCGCACCGAGTCAAGGCTCCTGCCCGCCGCCCTGATCTGGGATCGCACAAGGCCAGGCGAGGTCTGCGAAGTCGTCCGGCTGTGGGACTTTCGCGGCGAGATCCGTGGCACTAAGATGGGATCCTTTGAAAGATCCCTAGCACCCCATGGCCTGGATGCGTCGAGGACGAGGCCTGACGGACTAGTCGTTTCGACCTGCATCCCTTGCCTTGGCGGCGAGGGGAAAATGGAACCCAAGGCCTGGCCCGACGGGGGCTCGTCCGCCTGACTGGAACGCGCAGCCAGTCCTGGCGGTTCACCCTCGATGCTCCTGTCCGAGGCGGAGGAAGGGCTTTGCAGGGCGCGGCGACAGAGGCCAAGCTCGATGTCCTGGTCCGAGCAACGGCAGTCGTAGGGGCAGCCGACGCTGCGTCGGGGGGTCCCAGTGAGGCCGCGCGAGGATACGGCAGAATGGACCGGGCCTGGTGGGTGGTCCGGTCTCACCTCGATGTATGTCGGCGGCCGCCGAGATCCGGGCGAGGAAGAGAAGTCGTGGTTGACACGGCTCTGAAGTGTGGATGACGAGCTGAAGTAGCCTCGCTGATGGTGCTGGCGGGCCGATGGTGTCTCTGTGTCCTCGGTGCCCGCCTCGGAGTGGGCTTCCGAGGTCTGGCGCCGCTGTAGGAGGATCTCGTCCAGGGCCGAAAAGGAGGAGGATGACGATGCAGAGGAAGAGGAGGAGGATAAATCGAGGTTCCAGGGCTGTGGATCGGCATCCGAGTCGAGGTTGACGAGGGTGCTAGACGAGGTCGAGACGGCATCCGGATGCGACGTGGGCGTCTGGGCGGTAGGAGAAGGGCGGCGGTGGCTCCGATGCGGACTGCTCTGATCTCGCAATGAGTGACGGAGGGATTGGTGTACTGCGTCGGGGCTACTGCGGATGTCTGGCTTTGAGGGTGAGGGTCGCTTGCTGAGACTGGCGTGACGACGGGATGGTGGGGGCGAGGACAAGGACATGAGGTGCGCGTCTAGGTGTCGTGGCGCATGCTTCCGTCTGGCTTGCTAGGATCGGTGCACCGAGGATGGCGCTCGCATCGTTGTGTGGCCTGCGAGGGGCCGAGAGGGCGGAGCACGGGAGGAAACACGCCGGCGGGCGCTGGCGACGACTGTGGTGATGGTGGTGGTGGTCGGTGGAGAGAGCAGACCAAGCACGGGACTCGGCGGCGTGTTGAGGCCGGCCCTGCAGCAGAGGCTGGCCTCGTCCTCGACGCTTGGACGCGCGCGCGGCAGGCCGAGGTCAGGCGGAGCGGGCAGACAGCGCGAAGCGATCGGGGACAGGTCGCTGATTTTCATCGGGGCGACAAAGTGGAGCAAGCAGTCTGCGAGCTGAGCTGCCGATCGACGTCCCCCCGCCCGGGCGAGGCCACGCCGAGAGGGTGGCCCAAACGCCCGAGTCCTCAGGGGGGATCGGCTGCTCGCTCTGGTGGGCCTGGGCCAACCAACACCTTCTTGGCTGGCTCCCGCGTCTTCTACCTCGACCCACTCACATCTTCACCATCCTCCTCCGCCTTTCTCGACGCCAGTCAAACTCCCTCCTCCGCTGATACATCGCCTGCCGCTCGCTTCTTCCACCACCATCAACGTCCCCATCTAACGCCTTCGCTCACCATGGCAACCTCTGGCATCGGCAACCTCGGAACCCTCATCAAGAGGTGAGTGTGCATTTACCGGCCACGCCTCTGACGCCTCAAGGAAACTCTGCGGCTGACGGCTCCTGCCCTCCTCATGGCCCTCGTTGCTACTCTTGATTAGGCTCGAGGCTGCCACCTCCAGGCTCGAGGACATCACTGTCGCCCAGTCCCAGTCCTACTCCCAGTCTGGCCAACCCGGTGCCGCTGCCCTTGCTGGCGCGGCCGCAGGAGCCGCACCTCCCCCTCCCCCGCCTCCTCCGCCCCCCGCACCTGTCGAAGAGGTCAAGGAGGACCCGACCTCCGTCAAGGCCTGGGATGCGTCGGTCGCAGGTGCCCTCGCCGAGTACCAGGAACTCAGTGGAAGGATCGGTAATCCCGTCGCCGAGCAGGTCAGTGCTCCACGGAGTCGTCTTGCCAGTCCCAGACTCCACCGAACCATCAAACAATCTGTCTCCGTCAGCTCGCTGACTTCTCTCATCCTCTGTGCCTCCTCCATGTCATCGCACTGCAGGCCAACATCGTCGTCAAGACCTTCGCCGAGCAGCGCAACCTCATCCTCCTCGCCGCATCTTGCACCAAGCCTGCCGGCGGCCTCCAGTCGCCCGCCTTTGCCAAGCTCCTGCAGCCCCTGCAGGCGGCGCTGATGGAGGTGATCGAGGTGCGCGACAAGAATCGCGGCGAAAAGCGGTACTTTAACCACCTGAGCACCGTCAGCGAGGGCATCCCCGCCGTCGGCTGGGTCGCCATCGAGCCCAAGCCTGGCCCGTACGTCGCCGAGATGAAGGACAGCGCCCAGTTCTACGCCAACCGCGTCATCAAGGACTACAAGGACACCGACAAGACGCAGGTCGAGTGGTGCCGCTCCTTTATCAAGCTGCTCGAGGCGCTCCGCACCTACATCATGCAGAACCAGACCACGGGCCTGGTGTGGAACCCGCAAGGCTCGGATCCCGAGACGTTCAAGGCCGGCGCTGGCTCTGCGGCAGCTCCCTCGGCCGGCGGACCCCCG